CAAAAAGAGAGCTACCAGCCTTTCCCACTTCCAGAGTCTCCCTCCTGTTCTCCTGAACCGACTCCTTCATCTGAGATTCCACAGACAGGTCTTGAAAGGACCGAACCACCACTTGCCGAAAAACTCTTTGTGATCTTATCCTAAAAGACTTGAGCCGGGCACTGTTACCAAAAAGTAATTGCGGAATAAACTTAGAGGCAAAGGTAAGGGTGACTTTCATATGCTCTTTAGACTGGGAAACCAGCTGTGTATACTCTAAATCGACCTTCTTCAGAGGGATATCTAAAATTTGGCTTAGAAAACGTTCAGCCGAACGCTTAGATCTCCAGTTCATAAGCTGTCCCCTCCAAGGATGAATAATAAGTGTGACTTGATGTTGTTGAAGGATAGTAGAGAAATTGCAGTCGGACTTCCTAGTAAAGGGCTCCTCTGCACTCAGACCCTGTGCAGGATTTCATAATCTTGTAAACCTCAATCATGTCACCCCTCAGTCGTCATTTCTCCAAGCTAAAGAGCCCTAAGCGCTTTAACCTTTCCTCATAGAGAAAGTGTTCCAACACTTTTATCATTCTAGTTGCCCTTTTCTGCACTTTTTCCAAAGCGTGTTGCACAAGACAGTTCAAAAGCTACAGCTAGTATAAAATATAGCAGTCAGGGCCATTACTAGATACCACCAGATGGAAATTGTAACATGTGTTCTTTTGCAATTGCATTGTCTTCCAGTATTCTACCAGAATCAATATAAAATGCAGGAGACCTGGTAACCCTAGGTCCAACCCAAGTATCTTTCTATCATGGAGGCAGGCAGGTATTTCTGAATGGATGCTATCTGTAGGCACAAAAGTGATGCATCTCAGGCTCTTCTGAAGCACCTCCTGTCCTGTTCCAGTGGAGTGAACAGAAGACACGAGGTCTTTGTTTTGATGAGGAGATGCTTTGAGGTAAGAAACACAGCAGTGCCACATTGGGGATCACTGCCCTACATTACCTGGGCCCAAAGTATCTGAATTGCCATCTCCTGCATCATCCTGCTCCAGCTTTAAGATCCTTGAGGAAAGACATCCTATGGGAAGCTGCTTTATCAGAAATTAGATTGGCAGGGACTCTCAGGATGCCCTTTCAGCTGCTGCCCCAGTCTGTAGAACTCCCTGTCTGAAGAGGTGTGGTCATTGCCTTCTGGAGAAATGGGAAAACTTTTTGTTCTGGACAGTCCTTAAACTCACGGACTAACGGAATGATTGGTGACAGCACCATCTCTTATTCTCTGTCTGTTTTAGGATGTTTTAAATATTTTAGATGTTTTAATGGTCTCTTTGGACTGAAAGGCAGCATAAAAATTGACCAAACAAATAAAGCAGAACTTTTTTCTGTGAATGTTCTACCTTTGCTATATCTGGGAATATCTGTCATTTCACATTTCAATTTAATATAATTTCAACTAACAAACTTCTCTAATTACATTCTCATATTAAAAAAAAAATGTGTTGACATTTTATTTCCAGATGCTGATGACTGAGGCTGATGCAAGCAATAGGAAGAATGGTGCTTTTGTTTAAAATGCAGTAATTAAGCCAGAGGTGATTGTGTCAGTCCTGATTACTGTAGCCTAATTAAGCCTCTTTAATAGGCAAGGCAAATACTTGCGAAATTATCTGCATTTTTCAGTAGGAAACACTGTTGTCTAAAAAAATTCTCCAAATTTTTCTAATATATGATTAAACTCCAATTCATATGAAAATGAAGGCATTTGGAATTAGCGTCACAGTATAAGATTTTTTTGGGTTGCCCAACAGTATAAAACCACACTACTTCTTTCTACTGTTCCTATGTCGATTTCGTATGTAACAATTTAGGAAACATGAGAATTATCTCAGTGAACAGGTTTATTTTATTTACTTTAGCCACATGCTTCCTTTTAGCACCAAAAATCATTTGCCTTGATGAATCGGTAATGAGCAGTTTGCAGAGCAGAGAAGAGTACAGTGATAACTATTCAGAGGTAAGATCTTTACAGGCATGCTATTTATCCTATGAACCCATAAAGAGGTTCTCAAGAAAATGTTCACCAAATATGTATGTTGACCAAGGTCTGTATAAACATAATATGTGTTTGTAGTTTCATGCAATGCAAAATGCTGGTCTGAGTGACTTTTTGAAATTGCTTTTGCTTCTTGAATAGACATGGTAGAACTTTCTGATACCCGTTCTATAGGGGCTGACCTGTAAAGGGTCCACTAACACTGTGCTCTCCACTTATCTAGGGTGGTTCCACACTACAAATCTTTTGTGCTGCTGAAAAGTCCCTTTTCTGCATTCAGCTGCAAACTGAGTTTCCTCATAGGACTTAATCCACTGCCCCATAAAATCCCATCCCCATGACAAGGTCCAACTGTATATCTACTTGAAAATCAGTTCTTTCAGCAAAGGTACTCCTTCACAATGCGATTTCCCTTTTGTTCTTTTGTGTTAAGCTTAAATAATTGCTTTATATTCTCTCAGGGCTGACCAATTCTCTTTGGCATTCATGAATCAATGATTAATTATTCTATTCCCTTGGGGAGGCTTCGGCTATGTCCTATTTTGTAGCCAGCCAAAGTCACGGCTTATTTTTTACTGAATGTTCATGATCATAAACTGTGAAGTCTATAGGTTGCATTCCAAGCTTCACATACCATTTGTATGGCCAGGGCAAGCAACTTTAACAGGCTAGGTCTTGGCTGGTTCTCCATTCCCACAAGGAGGAAGATGTAGACACTGTACCAGTTGCAGAAACAAAATGCTTGTTCAGGACTTTACAGGTAGCAGAGTTCCCAGGGCAGTTTACAGCACTCCCACCCCTGGCCTTCTCACTTTCAGGCTTGTATACTGCTCATGTCCTGCACCACCCAACGCCTTTCCACAGCTGTCCTTAACTCCTCCCCTGGCTTTGGCCCAACAGCTGTGAGATCAGGGCAGAGCACCTTCCATCTCTGAGCTCGGTAGCTTCTCCAACTCAGAGGCATACCTTCTCCAGACTAAGCAGCTCCCAACCCCTAACAGCCGGCCTCTTCCCAGCCAGTGTCCTTCCAGCCGTTTTTAAGCCATCAGATGATTGCCCTTGTTTAGACCTCCCCGGGCTGCCCTTAAAGGGTGCTGTGCAATTTTCCAGCCCCTCCATGCCACAAAGTGCAATTCTGAAATAATTATTTAAAAGAATTTGGGACTTTGGCTGATTACCCACTGACTTTGTACTTACGTGTACCCTGTGTAATGTGACAAGAATATAATTCATATTTGATTAATGAATGCTGAGAAACTGCTGAGCATGAGAGAAAAACAGGAAGTAACTACTTAAGCAGGAAGGAAATTCTAAGTGACAGGAGACCTGGAAGCCTGAACAGTTCTTTTATTGCCCAAATGGAACAACTTGGTGCTGCATTTTTTTAAAAAATTGCCCTAATGAGATCTTCCTCTAATCCAAGAATGAAGAGGTGATGGGAATTCCACAGATCCAGCATTCCAGCCAGTGTGCAGATGTTGGGCCTTTCTGCATTCAGTCTTTACTCCCGATTTTCCCAGAGCTCAAGGTGGTATGCCTTTGATTCAAATAATTTCCTTTCATTCTGCATATGTAATTATTTTTCGGCACTTCATGCCAGAAACTCAAGTTTCTGCAGATTATGCTTTCTGTATACTCACAGAAGGGTTTTGAGCCCTGATTGCTCTCATCAGCATGATACTTCTCCCTTCCCTTCAATGCCCCGTGTTCTCTCTTCCTTTGCATAGAGCCTTGGCTGGTGGGAGGAATTCTTCCAGGAAAATTGAGTGGATGAGGCATTTCAGTGTTAACAGGGCAATGTCCGCTAACATTATATAATGGGAATAACCCAGGGATAATTTACAGTTATCAACGCTTCCTATCAAATCAAAATGCAAACCATCAATCCACGCATCTATTTTTGTTTTGAGGGAAATATTTGTGATCAAAGTCTGTTTGGATTAGAAGTGCTTCTTGAAAAACTGGTTTTTCCAGTAGCTCTCCCATCCTCTAAACCGCTGCAGACTCTAAACAAATGTAAATATTCAGCAATTGCCCATGAGGAAACCTGTTATCATGTAAATTGGCTGCCTCCTAACATAGACCAAAGAGAAAGAGGCTGAAACAGGGGAGGGCAGTGGGCAGAGTACTTAAATATTTGCAGAAACAATTCTACTTTAAATAGTAGTATCAGTTTCAAAACGGAGCAGAACAAAGGTTTGCGGCAAAATCACTTTGGGGACATGCAGGGCAACAGTGTGCTGGAAGTGGCCTAAGTGCTGATCCTCCTAAAATAAATGCAGAACCAAGAAGAAGCCCCAACACAAAGGTCCAATCTGCATTTGCTATGTAAAGCTGTTCCGTGCTGCTGTGGTGCTGGCTTCCATTTGGCTCAGTATAAAACTCTCCTCTGTCTGCATCAGGACACAAGTTGTTTAGGGAGAGCACACAAGAAAGGGGGGAGGAGCAGCCTCCCAGGGGTGCCAGCAGGGCACTGCACTGTGCTGCGCTGCAGGGAGGAAACGGCACCTGCAGCACCACCCCCCACAGAAAGTAAAAGGGGGTGACCTGGCAGAGGGGGAGGCAGAGGACATGGCAGGAAAGATGGAATGAGCTGGGTAAAAAACACAAAACACCCAACAGTTGCCAGGCAGGGCATTCTGAAGACTGCCCCTGGAAATAACAAATGGTTCGGGGTTGGGCGTGCTTCCAACCCCCCCCCCAAAATATGATCGCAGAAAAATGTTCCCTGTCTGCTTTTAAATGCAGACGACTGAATTTTCAGCTAACTTGTTTCCTTTGGGACAATTTGTGTTTCTCCTTAGAAAAGGGGGGGGGAATTCAGCTCCAGTTGTCTGCTTTTTGCTCACAGCAGCTCGACGGTGGGGAGGAGCAGTTGTATCACCTTAAAACCATATTCAGATAAGGCAGTGAGACGCCATAGTGACTTTGGAGTCACCACTAAATGGCCATAAAATGATGCAGACAGGCGATGCTGAGATGAAACAATAGGAGAGTGGATACGGCATGAAATGCAGACAGAAATTTGTGAGACAATGTGATATTATTGGCACAACAGTGGGAAATACCAATGCAGATTGGACCAAAGTGGCAATGAAAGTGGGAGGGAATGCAGAATGAAAGACTGAGATGCACTCAGAAACCGAGGAAAAAGACAGGTATAGAAAGAGCTATTGTTTCTTCTGTGCTTCCTGCTGTGCTGGAATACTGGTTTCCTTCATGTAATAAACTCCATGCTGACATTTTGACTGTTCCCATTTACAGACTCAAAGTGTGTGCCAAATTTCAGCTTTTTGGTTTGTCTGGATTGCCTTAACAACCTAGGAGTGTACTATCTGACCCCATTTCTAAGGAGAGTTCTAGCAACCAGGGGGTCTTTGGTATTTAGGAAGGCATAGGACTACCTTAACCATTGAATGCCAAAACTTACCTTCCCCTTTTCCAAGGTGAGACTTCAAAGGTCTCAGATTTTTCATCTGCACTCTCAAATGTTTAAGATACTTTCAGACTATCCAGAAAGCTGGAATTTAACATACTTTGACATCAAGATATTTGATTACTAGAAAAATCTGAAAGGGAGATGGATATATTTCCATTTCCACTTTTTTCCTAGTAATAAATGACTTGCTTGCACATATGCCAAAAATTCAGGGCTTTACCTCAGTGGACATTATCCCACTGATTTTGATATATTTGGTGCTGGCTCCCACACATACAAATCATAAGGCCAAGCCACAGGAGAGTGGTATCACTAGGGATGACCTGGAAATGCCCCACCATTTTGTAGGAGTGAATTACCACCAGGGAACTCACTGTAACTGCTGTGCAGGGCCCAATCCTGGTTGGGACCACTGTGGACCTGGAGGCTCCTGCTTCCCCCACACACACACTATTTTTCCAGTCTGAAATGACACTGTGGGTGTATGGGCAAATAACACATCTTGGTGCCATTTGGAGTCAGAAAAAATGGCACAAAAGGGAAGGCAGAAGCCCCTCCTCGACCCATACCACAGCGGTTCTGACCAGAACTAGGCCTTGTGGCACAGTTAAAAGGAGTTCCCCAGTGGGAACTCACTCCTACAGAATGATAGGGTGACCCCAAGATTGCCAAATAGTTTAGTCTGGCCCATTGTCTGATGGTATAAATGGGCAATGGAATTTTCACATTCTGTCCCATCTGGAATTTTCCTAGCTATGTGTTGGATTTTATTAGGAGGTAAATGGCATGTCCCATGTCTGAAAATTAGATCTAAAACTATTCCATTTTCAGACTTTCCTAGTAATTGACATATTTTATTTATTAAAATAAACTGCTTTTCTCCGAAAAGACTTGAGGAGGTACACAAACTACCCATCCATCTTGCCCATCTGGCAGTTTTGGCAAATGGTTATCTCTTTGCAGAAACACATCTTCACTTTGCAGATACTTTGTGCATTTTATGCCCCTTTTCCCTGGGAAAGAGTCCTGTTCCCATAACACCGGGGACCCCCTTGGTGAGCTTCAAAGCACTTTGTGTCTCTCATCCGTGATAGTGCATGGGTAAATATTGGGAGAAATACTCTTTCAAATGTCTGGGTCCCAGATCAAAAAGCACTTACAGATCAAACCAGCATCTTAAATTGAGCCCAGAAACAAACAGGAAAGCAGTGTAAATCTTTTAAGAATTTGAGTATGTGTGTGTATACACACACACACCAGTTAATAAATCTGAATTGTATTTAAGACCATATCCCTATGCCATGCATTACAATAATAAAAGCCAGATCAGTGAATAAGTGTGTGGGTTGATTAGCTGAGTCTAAAAGATGTGCCAGATTACATGCCATATACACATTACCATACGCAGATGATACAAAGCACTCTTGGCAATAACACTAAACTGCTTTTCTAACAACAAGGATGGATCCAAAATAACTCCCAAGCTTCTCACACAGTTAGTCACTGACAAGGAAATCCCACTGAGAGATGGAAATGCAGTTTTGTGTAAGACATCAGCTTTACTAACAAGCATCAGCTCCATCTTGTTGTATGGGTTCCATTTCACTTTGTTCCATGATATCAAAGCACAATCTAAGGATGGAGATGGCTGCTTCTGTAAATTTAGCCAATGAAACATAAGGCTGAGGTCATCTGCATAGGGATGACCCAATGCTCATGGTGGACAAGACAGAATCCTAGGGTACTCACTTATGTAGGCTTGTATGGGTCTGAATTGGACCATAGCTTTCTCATCCAATTACATATGAAAAAATCAAACCAGTGAAAAGCCATTCTCTACAAGCATCACACTCCAGATATGTTAGCAAAATGGAGGGATCGAAGGCTGTGAATAAATCCAACAGAACCTGCAATGAATGTCCCTGGTTCATTTTGTAGATTGAAATCATCCACCAGAACAACTATCTTCATCCCAAAACCAAGCCAGAAGCCAGATGAAACTGGTCAAGGGTTACATATACATCACATTTCATCTTTGTTGCTGAGATCCAACTTAGCTACCCTAGCTAAGTTTCCTGAAGAGGTAGCAAACAGATTTTCTACATAAATAAATAAAATTATTCCCACACACAAACACACACTCCAAGGAGACTTCAACAAATCTCTCAGAATTTGGGGGTAATTAGGGTGTCCCTAGCCATGTATGTACAGAAAGTTCAGCTTTCTGTGAGGCCCAGAGATATCAAATATTTGGGTGCACATATTGAGTCCTCATTTTGAGAGAGATTTACAAATGTTGTCCATTACAACTTTCTTATTATCTGTGTGTCTTGTGTAACACATTTGCAAAAATTTGACTTCCAGATGGGCTAGAAATATCTTAACAATTTTGAACAACTCTTTGAGTCCCTCATTTTTAGGGAGCGAAATATCCTTCAGATTTGTTAATAATTAGGATGCTAAAAATGTTGTATATAGATGTTTCAAACTAAATTATATAGGTGACCTCTGACCTCTGTACATGTCATAAACAGTTTCTAAGTGGCCACAACTACAAGAGACATCTGAGTGAATTAGCAATATGCCTCTGGTTAATGATCGCCCCTGAAATCATATTATGTTTTATATTAGTCTAATGAAGACATTATAGAAGAAAAGCAGAGACGTCTCAACCTTGAAGAGCTAAAGGACCGGGGATTAAAGAACATTGTGAAGATGAGCATGCCTACAATGAACAAGATGCCAAATTCACTTGCTAATTTGCCCCTGAGGTTTGGTAGAAATTTTCAGGAAGAAAGAAGCATCAAGCCAGCAGCCAACCTGCCTCTCAGGTTTGGAAGGGCATTTGAAAGCATCCTTTCAAGCCACACCCTTCCTTTCGCCCACAGGTTTGAGAGAGCTCCTTCTGTTCAAAGCTCCATCCATTCTCTTGCCAACTTGCCACAAAGGTTTGGAAGATCACCTCTCTTCATCCTACCTCAAGAGATCCAACAGTCTGATCAAGATACTAACAAGTAAAACACTTTAAAACATGTCTGATTTGTACAGTGCTTAATTCAACGACATGTTTTATAAAGCAATTTATAACAATATTGTTGTAATATCTGTTTGTGTTAGTTGCCACCTAGTGGCTAAGTGATAGAGACTTTTGTACAGCAGACTAGGCATGCTCCTGGGGGAAGGCGGGGCTTGTGTGGTGATTTTCTAAGATGGATGCCTGTCTGTGTCCTGTACTGTATGTGACTCAAATAAAACAGTTTTACTCTTGCTTTGCTGGTGTGGCCTCCTAATATTGTAATCATTGCACAATCAAATTGGTATTACATATATTTGCCCGGGACTGTGTAGATAAGAAAACATGGTGGAGGGCAAGTAATTGAGATCATGGTAAATATTCAAGTACAGTAACCTGAACATGTAGAAAACTGGACAAAAACAGATGTAATATTGTTTAGAGCAGCAGAGTCACCCTGGAAGCATTCACACTGCATTCAGTCCAGATGTACCTTTTATCTCCAAGTCTGAACTCTGGAGGGGGGGGGGGGAAACAGTCCTGCAAGTTTGAAACAGAAGCCAAGTGGGCACACTGCATATTGGCTGGGCCTCATATGTCACCAAGAAATCCTCCAGGGCAATCTAGCACTGAAAGCTTCCCTTTTTAAAATAAATATGATTGACAAATGATAAAAATACAAAAGAATCCCTCCTGTAGCTGAGTGGAAACCCAGGATGACTGAGTAGATATTCAGTTCACTGGTATGCACATTTGTCACATTAGTCACAAACCCCAGCTCACTATGGCACTCAAAGGTAAACTATAAACTCTGTTTTTATATCTTGTCTATATCCGAGTCAGAATTTCTGCTTTTAGAAAACAAAACAAACTTCATACAAGGGTTGCCAACCTCCAAGTGGGGCCTGGGGTTCTCCCAGAATTACAAGCGATCTCCAGACTACAGAGCTCAGTTTCACTGGAGGAATTGGTAGCTTTGAAGAGCAGACTGTATAGTATAGCATACAGTCTAGGAGACATGGAAGTCCTAGAGTGACTTCACATCCCTGCTGAGCTTCTTCCCCTCCCTAAACTTCACCTTCTCCAGGCACTTCCTCCACATAGAAGAGGAGGAGATTGGATTTATACCCTGCCCTTCACTTGGAGTCTCAGAAGTGGCTTACAAACTCCTTTCCCTTCCCTTCCCCACAACAGACATCCTGTGAGGCTGAGAGAGCTCTGAGAGAACTGTTCTTTCAAGGATAGCTCTGACAGAACTATGGCTTGCCCAAGGTCATCCAGCAGGTGCAAGTGGAGGAGTGGGGAATTAAACCTGGTTCTCCCAGATTAGAGTCCACGCACTTAACCACTACACCAAACTGGCTCTCACATATCCAGTAATTTTATAGTGCAGAGGGGGCAACTCTACTTCACACTTGCCAGTGGTATTCCATTCCACTGGGCATCTCAGACATTCATAAGAATGCTCAGAGACTTCCAATAACCAGACTTCCAATGACCAAACAAGTTAGAAATGAGGAAGACAAGTTCATTACCCGGCTTCATTCGGAGGTGGCAGGTTGTCTCTGTGTATGTTGTAAAGCTGGAGAAAGAAATATCCAACATTCCCCATTTGAAGTCAAAGACTTGCCTGCAAGAAATGAAATGACAAAATGTTAGGTCCCTTCTGGTAACTTGCAGGTGATGGGGAGGGACTTACCAGAAGCAGGAAGGAGGCCCAGGCTATGTTGCTGGCAACATGGCAACATCACTTTTGGTGTGTACTAGAAGTGACATCATCATACTGGGACATCACAGCTATGCTCTGGTATTTGGCAAAAACTCCATGGTAAAAATTGCTCCTACCATAAAGCGATGTCACCATGTTGCCCTGCAAGGAGCGTATAACTCTTTCACGGACTTATGAACCATAACTAATAACTGAACTGTGCAATAAGTGTGCAAAGGGAATGGACTGTGTGGTGACCACACACTGATGCCAACTCCCTGGACTGCAGACACACGCCCAGCTGAGGGAAGCCTCTTCCTGAGACAATGTGCCAGACCAAGAGTGGATCTGTGGGTCACCTGCCACCTCTCCCCTGCAGCACAGCAGGGCAGGAGCCAAGCACCCTAGCCGCGAAAAGCACACAGAAGCCAGTGACAGATTGCTGTAGAGAAACACAATGCCATGCAAAGGAGACCTGAGAATCTCTACAGAGACTCCATGAGCAGACATCTCCTCCAGCATGCAAGCATCTTCCTCCCCCCCCCCCTTCACCAGATGCTGCACGTATGCTCTCAGGCATAACAAAAGAACTGCTTCCATGAAGGGATTAGCTGGCTGACACGTACCTGCCAAGCCCATCACCCAGAGCAATCATCGGACCATCAACACTAACAACCCCATCCACTTCTGCTATTGTTTCCTAAAGGTGCCACTGTTAGAATGAATAGAAGTAATACTGCCCACCCATTAAGTCCCCACCCTCCTGAAACCAGTTTTTGTGTTGAAACTTCCTGGGGACATGGCTAGGGGACATGACTAGAGGACACACATCCCTAGCCCAAATAAAGTATAAAAAGAGCAGGATTCGTCATTGCTCTCTCACACACTTCCTCTCTACCTGACCCCATCCTACCTTGCTGACTCTCGGTTTAAGCGCTGCCCAGAGTCTACCATGTGTTCTGCTAGCCAGAATATGACCCCTTTTCCTTATACTCGCCCTTATTTTTCGCTGCAGGATCGCTTCATCTCATCAAACAGGTCAGTATCACCCAACCAATGACTTTTTTCTGCTAATGCAAACATCACTATACCTTTCTGTCTAATTTTCCTAGCTCTGTATTGTTGTGTGTATGCTTGGATTTTATTGATTGTGTGTGCAGATCCCCTAGTAAAAAAACCTCTTCATTAAGATCTGGTCTCTGCATCTATTTCTGGAAATCTGGATTAAGTGAGACTCCTGTATACATAGGTTATTGCTCCCTTATATGCCTATTGCCATTTAATAACTATAATTCCCCAAGCTATTATTAAATAAAATAAGGCAATTTGTCTAACAACCACATCATCTACAACATAGCCTGGGCCTCCCTCATGCCCTGAGTAAGTTCCCCTGCCAGCCAGATGATTGGTGGCGGGGCCCAGGTGACTGGCAACCAGGGGTCATTTTGTAGAAAAAGAGCTAGGGGAATTCATTAGCATAACTCATTAGCATATGCCACACCCCTGACATCACCGGAAGTGTGTCATAAGGCCACACACCCTGACATCACCGGAAGTGTGTCATAAGGCCACACACCCCACCCCCAACGGTCCTGGCCGCCACCGCTGGCCTTGCAGCTCCACTGCCGAGCCCCATGAGGGAACCGGTGGTGGACCTGCAAGGCTGGCAGGAGTGCAAGGAAGCCCCGTGAAGGCCCTCCCTGGCCCCAGGCAGGGGTGGGGAGAGGCAGGGAGGGAGCAACTTACCCTCCCTCTTCTCCTGCCTCCTCCTGGCTGAATGAGGGCCGGAAGCGGGGCGGCCGGAAGCAGGGGGCAGGGCTTCATCATGTGCCCCGCCCCCCATACCTCACCCGGGGGAACTGCGATCCCCCACGATCCCCCCCGAAATGACCTCTGCTGGCAACCGTATAGCAGGTGACTGGCAACCGTATAAGATCTGCATAGGCTTGTACAGGCTCAATACTTCATTAACCTGCTATACCTGCAGATCCCAAATGTGGAATCTGCCAATGTATTTCCTTGTACTCACTTGCTTGTCTCATCTCAAAATAAAATCCAAAGGGTTTCAAGATGAAGAATGGAACAGAAAATAATTGGGACATTCAGATACCTAGCTTCCCTAGCAGCTGACTGAGTAACAGAGTGCTAAGCTCATTCCATGCTCAAATAGGTCTCAGGAGAGGCACCATGTATGCACAGAGTCTACATAAAATCTATGCCATATGTTCAGAGTTCCTGATAGTGCACATATAGTTTTACACACACAGACTCTGTAAATGAATGCATGTGAGTCAGGCATAAGTACTGTACACTGAAGCAGGCCTAATGAGCAAACAGCTCACATCCATCCACAACTTTTCTTAGAGTTTCTGATTTGTGGTTGGTCAATGGATTCTTCCTTTCTTTCAGATCTGGTGATTTAAACAACCATATGGAAAAGGAATCTGACAAAGAAGTATGCAAAACAAGCCAGAAGACTTTGCATCAGTTTCCTTACTAAATGCTGGAGCACAGAAACAAAGAAATGAAAGAAAAGGTTCTGACATCAGTTCATGATTTTGGTTGTCCTCAGATGACTGTTTGCAGGGAGTCAATGTTGTACTACTTTATTTCCACAGCTGTGCAGCAGTTTAGATCTTTCCTTTACCCAGGACATGTGAAGTTTAGTCAATTGTAAATAACATTTTGAAAAACAGTATAGTGAGGGAAGTAAATAGTTAATATGAGCTAAAAGCAACTGTGAATTTATGAAACAATGGGCCTGTATGAAGAGCAGACGATACAGTAGCAGAACTAGAGATAAAGATGACAGGGAGGAGGGGGGAATGTGAACAAGCCAAGATGGCCTTGGTGAAATAGAGCACTAAACAACCACGCACGTGTAATACCTTCATTAATAATATTTAGCCCACCCCGAATACTTAATTAGCTAATTTAAATGCATGTATAATGTATGTAAATGTATGATTGGGGGGGGACGAGCTGACATGAAGTAGGTGGGCTGAAAGAATGTAACCTTTGCTCTCTGGCCTATAGGGGCCGAAGGAGGGATTTTGCAGTCGGGGATAGGGAGTAGGGACGAACCGAATGCACCCAAAAAAATGGCCCATTCGGGCCCCTTTCGGGCTGCTGCGGGCCAATTCAGATTCTCTTATCTGAATCGGCCTGCTATCGAATTGCCGCCGAAATTCGGCAGCAATTCGGCCCCATTATATCCAATGGGCCATTGAAGTCAATGGCAAAAACATAGGATATATTCTGGGGGCTTGAGGGGAGGGGGTTTGAGGGAGAGTCTCCAAACTCTCGGGGTAGCTGCTGGAGCCACTCCCCAAGATACCCACCAAGGTTCAAGAACAGTGGACCTGGGGGTCCAGTTCTACGGGCCCCCAAACAGGATTCCCCATCCCCTCCATTGTTCTCTAAGGTGGGGGGGGGGAAATGTCAAATTTTCCCACGATCTTGTTAGTGGGTTGGGGGGGAAAGGGTTTGAGGGTGTAATGTATCCAGTCCTGACCATGTGGCAAATGGGAGTGCCATGCGGTCCGGCTAAACCTCCGAGCTTTGCACCAGCAAACAACGGACTAAGCGTTGCACCAATCCAAGGGCTAGGCTCCCGGCCGAGAACCCATGGAACTCTCGGCCACTTTAAATAACCTATTATGGTGTGGGGGGTGTTTTGGAGTGTGGTTTTCACAAAATATAAGCCGGCCTGCGATGCATGTGCAGCCTGCAAGGTTGGTGGTGTTGCTTTGCACACCACCTTCCTTGCTTGGGAGGGGGGAGAGAGAGTCAACGCTACCCAACTCTACCCTGGCCTGACCTGCTACCTCCCTGGACTTCTGGTTGCACCATCAATTTACACAGGGCAGGGCCTGTATAAATGTTGTTCCTGTTGGTCTTTTGGGGTTTCTGTGCGGCACTGTGGCATGCTTGCACTGCCACAGTGCCACTTGAGTATGCCACTTGTTCTCCTGGCAAACAAGCACCTCCCAAGACAGTTCACTTACCCTGAGATTCCCTGGGACAGTCTGACTGCTGGGTGCTGCCTGCTTGCCTGCCTTAAGTGCTGCTGGCTGGCTTTCCCCATTGGGAACAATGGAGGTAATGGGGGTAACCTGTTTGGGTGCCCATAGAATTGGGTCCACTGGTCCAATTGCTTTGGTACATGGGGGTTTATTTGGGAAGAGGCTTCCGAAGCTACCCTGAAAATATGGAGTCTCTCCCTCAAACCCCCTCCCCCCCAGAGCCACTAACAGCACCCTGGGGGGGAAGTAACTTTTTCCCTCACCATAGAGAACAATGGAGGGGATGGGGGCAACATATTTAGGGGCCGTAGAATTGGACCCCCGTGTCCAATGTTTTTGAAAATTGGTGGGTACCTTGGGGAGAGGCTCCAGCAGCTACCCTGAGAGTTTGGAGCATCTCCCTCAAGCCCCCTCTCCTCCAGCCACCAGAATATACCATATGTTTTTTGCCATTGTCTTCAATGGCCCATAGGATATAAATGGGCTGAAACTGACACTCAGCTGGCTGAAGGACTCCCCAATCAGCTGGTACTGACGAAACTGACATGCAGGACTCTTACTGGGGCTGAAATTGATTCTGCCAGATTTGGCCAAATCCGAATCAGCCGAATTGTTGTGTTTTTTTGCACACCCCTAGTAGGGGGTATAAAATGAAACAGTTTGGAATGTTCTGGGAGCTCATTTGATCTGACTCCCTTTATTGTCAATAAAACATAACTAAAAGATACTCCAGACTGACTTTCTTTTCTTTGGTATGTCCCTTAGAGTGGCTAAGGTAGACATTGTTTCTAACAATAGTATATAACAGAAAACAGTATAAGAAATCTTTTTACAAGGTGCCACATAACCTGGTATATGATAACAAGCTGTAACAACTCTAGAAACAAAAAGACAATTCATGTGTGATTTTCTCAAAAGTTTGCAACAGTCACTAAGAAAACAAGAAAAATGGTATTGGATCTGATAAATGGTCTGTATGTTCCACTTTGTCCAAGGCATAATCTGAATACTGAGAAATGTTTTAATTTTCTGGATATAGGGTTACTAAAATCCCCAGCATCCTAAATCCCGAAAATCACATTTCAAAGCAAGCCTTCAGATCCTGAAGATGAGCAGCAGACTGACTCAAGAACCTTCTAAAACACACAGCCTGTAGGTCATTCCACTCCCTGGATCCTCTCAAATATTATTAGTACTCAACAGTGTGTTAAAGGGTTTGCCTGCCAGTGCAGAAAAACAGAGAAACCTTTTTTACTTCTCCTCTCATGGACATTTGCTAAACATAATGAAGGGACTTATGTGGAGATAGGGGGGCAGAGCTTTGTGCACAGTTGCTTTCTGATAATTCACCAGTTCTTTACCCTTGGACTCCAGTTGTAAAGTTGGATCTGGCCCTCCTTCATACAATTCAGTTGAGGACCAGGTCTTATCAGCCATCTCGTAATTTCCCTCCTAACGTCCAGGCCTCCAAACTCTGATGCAGCAGTTGCGCAAAGAAATATCTGCTTTAATATGTATCATAACACTGCAGTGCATGGTTAATACAGGCCCCTTACATCACTTGTTGCCTTACACTTTATGACCCCCCCAAATTTGCAATACCAAGTCATTGTGATGTCAAAGGCCACTTGGAGAGCAGACCAAGAAACTACTGCAGTTTACTGCAACAAAGTGAAAGGTAAGTTTGAGGGTCAAAATGGCATTCTTGATTCACTTGTTTCTCCTTTTTAGAGATCATATTTTCTATATGTCAAGACTTTGGTTTAAATGACTGAGGGATTAAGGGGGCGGCTGATGAAAACAGCAAGCATAGATGGGCACCATATGTTTGTCATAGAATCATAGAAATGGGCCTTGTAGGCCATGTAGTCTGGCCTCCAGTTCGGTACAGGAAATCCAAAGATGGAGCATCCCTGACAAGATGGCTCTTCAGCCTCTACTCCAAGACCTTCAGTGGGAGAGATTCTACCCACTCCCTAGGTAACTGATTCTATTGTCACACTGTTTTTAACCATCAGGAAGTTTCTCATAATGTTCAGCTTTAAAACTTGCATACTTCATATTAAAAATATTGCTGGCAGTAGCTCGTGCAGTCCACATTAAATATTATGTCTCACTCTGGGTCAATTCCAGATTTTTAGAAGCCAACATTAGTAGCTCATAAAACATACTTTTCTGGCTTCTGCCCAACCATGTTTTTGTTAACCAGCTTCCAGAATACCAGTTCAGGATGGGCAGCTTATGTTTCTTTCATGAGTGGTAATATTAGGAGACGGCCTCGTGGTATCTAGTATCTCATTAAGACTGTTTTGAATAAGATTGCAAGTTCTGAGAAGATAACATCTTTCCAGTTCTTCATTCATTTATTATTAATGCTCGCAGACCAGTTGGTCATAAGCAAATAAGAGAATTATACATATATACCTATAAAATACATTTTTAAAAATACAGCCATTGGGTTATCCAATATTACAATCTATAAAAATACCTGGTAATACTAATTTTAAGATTTACAAATCATATTCCTTATTTACTCATCCTTTTATTTAATTTGATTACTAATTAGTTTGTTTAGTAGTATGTGAGTTCCTTAAGTTCTCCTCATGTCTTTTGTGCCTGAACATTCCCAAACGAAATTTAACTTCTGAGACTGTAATGGCTGGATCAGAGCTGATAAGCAAGAATGAAAGCTTTGTTGCAACTGGGAAATCAACATCAGGGAGAAATGAATCAATATACTGGGTTCTCAAGTGTTTATATCTTTGATAAGAGTTTCAATGAAACCAAGACCACAGTCACACAGATGCTGAGAATAGGGCTGTTTAGCATAATGCCCACTTAGAATAGCAGTAGGTAACACATTGAACTTAGCTAGAAAAAAGCCTCTTCTATAGGCTGGGATGGTCAAAAAGTCTATATCCAGGCAACAGGACTTTGAATCTAGAAAGCCAAAGAAAACAGGAGAGCATACACAATGAGCATGGAGAACAGTACTTGTTAAATCCCACTGGAATAATCTTTTTTTCATTAGAGAATGAGCTGTAGAAAAGGACATAGTCATCAAGGAGGTGCTATTCAGCCCCAGCCTTTGAAATTTGGCATCAACATATCAAAACCAGGAATTAGCATATGAGTCCCTTAGGAGCAAGCTTAGAAGACTACCCATATGAGGGGCTAGAAGAAGTTTTAGTCAGTAGATAAAAATAGAGGGCCATGTATTTGCCTCCAAGGATCAGATCCCAAGCTCACCTCTAATAGCAATCCCAGCTACTCAATAAGGAACAGCCAACAACTTTATAAGAAAGCTATGTAAGATGGAATCTAAGAATTCATCTACTAAGTCAGCCCACAAGAGAACACTATATAGGAATTGGGTAGCTACTTTAACTTCAAAAAGCTTAATAGTCAAGGGAATATGTTAGCTGCCTCTAGAATAGAAAAAACACTGGATTTCCTTGGAAGTTCTTGAGGCTTT